CACCATGGATCGATCATCTTACATCTAAACAATCCCCACTATGTCTCTGGACGCATCCACCACCAACTCAAATGGATGTTGTAAATGTCTTTGTTAGACAAATTGTATGGTTTAGTGGTGTAAGAAGATCGTGAGAGCCCTAAGAATACTTTACGAGAAACAAAATAGAGAGAGTCAACTCATCTCATTTTGGCAATTGATGAATTCCCAAGCAAAACTCAAATGGGAAAAGATCCTCGTAGCACCCCAAATAAGTGAGACATTACAGTATGTTAATGATTGTTTCTTACTTTAGTAGTTGTTAGTTTGTTCTTACTCTTCCCATTGCCAAGGATGATTTGTGAAGCGATCTTGATGCGTGAAATGCAACATTAACGATCGATAGTTCACGTCGATGAAAATAAACGACATCTTCATGAGATTATTTTCTTGCTTAAGTTGTATTTCGACAATTTAAGATCTATTATTATCATATATGATATCCTTTCAATTATTGTTAAAGGTTAATCATGCTAAACATGAGTTGCATAATGTATTTATCAGGCAATATTACAGGTATTAACGTGATCACTCATTTTTTTGCTTGATCAACTTTGTTCCAAGTTCTAATACGCATCAGATGTGTCGTTGTTAATCATCCTTTTGAAAGTTAAAACCAAGCATGGGATGTTGACTGGTTAAATAGGGAAAACCTCTTTTGATGACATGCTGAAGGAACATAATAATACGAGAGACGCTGAGGGTTCTGCAATAGGCAAAGAAGGTACATCTCCTCGGACCTGGAACTATCATTTATTTACGTTGTGGTTATACTCATGCCTAATGTTCACCCAGCACCGTTGTCCTCATGCTGCTTCTGTTATGACATTGGGTGTGATACCACTTGAAGCTGACACGGTCGAAAAGGGACATAATTTGGATGCTGATTCGACTGGTTCGACATATGATTTATTTCTCTTTCACCTCCCTTTCTATATGAATCTCCTTTAGAGTATGTTGGGTTGGGTTGAAGGAGCAAGAAAATAATAAGAAACAATACTATGATGTAATTAAAAAAAATTCTTTTGATCATATAGTGATTAAACAAGAGGTTAGACATAAAATACTTCTAAGATATTTCAAGTACACATACCTCTCGAACTATGATACTATTTATAGGACCTAATGGTAACTACCTCACTTCATCATATCACCCATGATTGAGTTTGGTATAGGAACTACCATATAACTACTAGATCATAAGTCACTACTTAGAATATGCCTATAACTATCTAGAAAATGAAAACTACCTAGATAACTACTATGAATCAATTATCAACACTCCCCCTTGATTCATAGGTATAAACACCGATTTTAGACATAAAATAAACATGCTTCTGAACCGGAAACGATTTAGTGAGGATATCCACAACTTGTTCACCTGTTCCACAATACTTTATTACTATAGCTCCACTTGCTACAAAATCCCGGATGAAATGATAGTGTATCTCTATATGTTTCGTTCTTCCATAAAATGTTAGATTTTTCATTATTGCAATTGTGGCTTTGTTGTCACAAAATATTTCCGTTACTTCTTTTTGCTCTTAATGAATATCTTCAAAAAGTCTTCTAGGCCATATTATTTCGCAAGCTGCTAATGTTGTAGCTACATATTCTACTTTCGATGTTGATAACACAATTGTTACTTACTTTGTTAAGCTTCAAGATATAGCTCCTGATCCAAGGTTAAAAAATATTGCTTGAAGTATTCTTTTTATCATCTAAAGCTTCTACCCAATCACTATTAGTGAAACCAAATAATTTACATTTGAAATTATGAGAATACCCAATGTCATAATCTGTAGTTCCAGCAACATAATGCAGAATTCTTTTAACAGTTCCGAGATTATGTTTGCTTGGGCTATACATATGTTAGAGCTAGCCCCAGGAAATTTACCACAAGGTAATTTTGGCAACCAAACAAGACAATAAAACAGAAAGAATAAAAGCGAGACAAGAACACCAGATATACGTGGTTCGGTCAATTGACTTTGACCTACATCCATGGACGAAAGAGGAGCAAATTACTACTGCAAAATAGGGACAATTACAAATGCCTTAGGAAGATGTTCCTAGGCCATAAAACAAGCCAAAAAATATTCCTCATATAAATCTTTTTTTCATATTCTTCAACCAAAAAATATTTAGGTTGAGTAACAAAAACCTCTTCATATAAATCTCCATTTAAAAACATAGATTTCACATTAAATTGATAAACAAGCCAAGTCAAGTGAGCAACTAAAGCCAAGAAGATTCTCACAGTTTTAAGAGAAAAAGTATCATTAAAATCAATACCCTGTTATTGTGAATATCCTTTTGCTACAAGTCGAGCCTTATGCTTTTGGATACTTCAATCTACATTAAACTTTACTTTGAATACTTATTTTAATCCAATAGCTTTCTTTTCTTTCGGTAGATCTATTAGCTCCTAGATTTCATTCTTCTCAAATTATTTGATTTCCTTCTTCATTGTTTTTCACCATTCCTTTTTTTTAACTACTTCCTCAAAAGTTATGATTTGAAATAAATAAAGCAAATGTTGAGTCATAAATTTCTGTTTGTAGTCCGATTTTTTCTAGAGGGGTTTCATCGGAGGAATCAGAATTTCAACTACTACTAGGTGAGGTTGACGATGAACTTGTTAGTGTAGGATCTATCTCCTAATTCCAACTTGTCTTTTCATCAAACACAACATTTCTGTTAATAATAACTTTGCCACAAATAGGATTATACAATCGATATGCTTTGGATTGTAAGGAATAACCAATTAAGATGTATTTTTTTAGATTTTTCAACAAACTTGTGATGGTTTTATGAATTTACCAAAGCATAAGCAATACAACAAAAAATTCTTAGATACCTTACACTTGGTTTCATGCTATACCAAGCCTCAAAACGAGTTTGATTCATAACAACCTTTGTTGATGAAATATTCAACAAATAAACTGCTGTTACAACTACTTCTGCCCAAAACTGATTTGGAATATGCTTTCCTTTATGCAAACTTTTTGTCATTTTAACGATAGTTCAATTCTTACATTCAGCTACACCATTTTACTTTAGTGTATATAGTGTTGTTAATTCTCTACGAATACCATTACCTTCACAAAAAGAATTAAACTCATTAGATAAATATTTACCACATCTATCTGTTTGAAGTGTCTTTATACATCTACCACTTTGCCTTTCTACAAGTACATTGAATTTTTTTAAATTATCAAATATTTTATATTTCAATTTCAGAAAATATACCCAACTCATACGACTATAATCATTAGTAAATAATAGAAAATATTAACTTTCATTAAATGATTTTGTATTCATAGGTCTACATAAGTCAGCATGAATTAATTCAAGACAATTAGATACTCTCCATGTTTTTCCAACAAGAAATAATTTTTTACTTTATTTGTCATAAATGTATCCTTCACATACACCAAGCGTATTGATTTTAGGTAGTCCGAAAATCTTTTTTTTTATTTAACAACCTTTATTAAGGTGTTCATATTTTAAATGTCACAAATTAGACTCATTCTTTTGAGTTTCAATAAGAGCATGTTTTTCAATATTTGAAACATCAAGTGGAAACATCTTATTTTACATCATATAAACATTTATCGTAATTAATTAAGCTATATTTTTTTATCTTTAATAGTGCATGAACCATCATCAAATATAACTTAATATCCATCATTTATCAATTGTCCAATACTCAACAAGTTATGTGATAAACTAGGAACAAAAAAAATATTATCAAGGTATTTTACCTTCCCTTGACTTATCTTCACCTTAATTGTTCTTTTTCCTTCCACTTGAATTTGCTTGTTATCTTCAGGTTTAACTTTCAAGAGTTTCATTAATATCTCTAAACATTGATCTTATACCTAACATATGATTAGAATATACATTATCCAAAAATCAAATATCATTCTACTCTTGTAATTTTTTTATTATAATTTGATTGCTTTTATTCATCATTCTCATCTAAGTGTCATCTTCCTCTTCCATTTCCTGTTGATTTTTTGTCTTCTTTTTCTTCACTTTTTTCAAGTAACATATTCAACCTTGCTTCATGTGCTTACGAGGAACCCATTAGTTCATCAAATAAAAATATAGATAAATCTTTTGACTCCTTAAGTGCAGAAACAATATGATCAAATTTCGAAGTTAAACTTCTCAAAATTTTTGCAATAATTATATGATCATAAAGATATTCACAATAAGATTTCATTTGACTAACAATTTCAATCACTTGAGAAAGAAAATTTTGTACTGATTCATTGCTTTTCATGAACAAAATTTTAAACTAATGACGAAAGATTTGAAGTTTTACCGTAATCACCCTTTATGAGTCTTGAAATTCATTTTGAATCAACCAAGCTTGCTTTGAGGTTGACACTGCTGCAATTCTTTAGAAGATTATCTCATTGAAAGCTATATTGTCCCGTTTAAACAAAAACTTAGCTTTGATACCATAAAATATTGTAGATGGAGGAGCAAGGAAACGATAAAAACAGAATACTACAATGCAATTAAAAAGAATCATTTCGATTAAAAAAATTGATATAATATTTAAACAAGAGGTAAGACATAGAACACTTACAAGATATTCCCAAGTACACATACCTCTCTTGCTTTATTAACTATGGCCATATTTATGGGACATAGTGGTAACTAACTCACTTCATCATGTCACCCATGAGTTAGGTATAGGAACTACCCTATAACTACTAGATCATGGGTCACTACTTAAAACATGTACTTATAACTACTTAAAACATGAGAATTACCTAGATAATTACTGTGAATTCTTAATAGAGTACAGTACACCAAAAATGTCAAGTCAGCAGCAATCGCTCATTTGTCCTTCACCATTCGCATATGGTTATAAGTAAGCGCTGCAACAGGAAGAAGCCTATCAACTGTGTTTGTTGAAGAATGCGATGAGGCCGTCGTAGACGAGCTGCTTGGCATTCACCCCCATCACGAAGTCCATATGTGCGTACTCCTTCACCAGCTGAGCCACGAGCTTGTCGGCGTCATGGTTGCTGAGATCGTTCAACAGCAGCTGCACGTCCTTCACGTCCGACAGCATGTCCCCGCCGCCG